CCTACTATCCTCGGAAACGTAAAATGATTGGCTAGAATCTAAAGTGTATCACAGCTCAGGGAAAAAAAAGCACTGAAATGTGCGCTGCTTTTTGGTCTGGTTACTACCGTTTATGTCAGAACCGGTGCCATCATGATACCGGATACCGGTACCCATCCCTGACTTATTACACAAGATAAAATGTACAGAAATAAATAGGCAGCTCAGCCTTTCAACTTCAGTGCTATTTGAAAAAGGATAAAACTATTTACAATATTATTTAGAAAAACTAACTGGTCTCATAGCATACACACAGCCGAAGATAGGTCTGCTGCTGCTGCTGGTGCCAAACCAGATTAAACCATAATGTCCTTGAATGTGCTCTCCCTTTTCACTTGTATCCCTACAAACGAGGCAGCGGAGAGTGCCAGTACATGATCAGATTTATACACTGTTAGACCTTTGCCTCACCGCCACATATCTTAAAATACGAGAGTTGCTACAAACAAAAGTATGGATGTGGGTGATACAATGGTCAAAATCTAAACCCAAGAAGTAGAAACCTTCACTGTTCATATCAACTCAGTGGGTAGAAACGTAAAGCTCACCAGGGAAGATAAAAATGATAATAGTTTGCCTTTCCCTGTGCTGAATGGAAACCTCAACATTGAACGTTACTGAAAGCCCACACACACCAGTACCGACTCTTTGACTCCCACAACACAAACTTGGTCATTTGGACCCTCAACACTGGGCACAAAACATTCACTCTAAGCCAAAGACAAGAACACACACATGTAAAGAAAGCTCTTAAAACACGTGGTTTTCCCAGCTGAGCCTGGACACCAACAAGGGAGAAAGAGATTAAGAGATTAGTGAGACATTAAAACCAATGTGGGTTCTTTCCAGGTTCTCCAGCTTCCTCCCATAGTTCAAAGACATGCAGTTAGCAGGGGTTATGTTCATTGGTGATGATAAACTGCCCACAGGTGTTAAGTGTTGTCTGTCTCTGCGTTAGGGTTTGCCCCGCCTCTCGCCCTCTGATAACTGGGATAGTCTCGAGCCGCTCTCGCGACCCTGATGTGAATAAAACGACTAATGATTAGACTTTTGTCTCATCTGCCACAGATATATTTCCAGTTTTTAGCTTAAGGAACTCTTCTTCAACTCTGCTCTGGCTAGTATGACAGGAATGCTGACATGGTGAGATTTGATTGGACTGCCACCGTCTGCACACAAATCCCGAATTCCCCCAATGCATTGTGGGTGTTGGGTGAAGGGAAGGCTCTGTTCTGCAAGAAAACATATTCTGACCATCAACCCTCACCCTGCACCCACACACACTCTCTGGTAGCACAGCATGTACAGTGATCCACACACAGCCACTGTGACACAGTGTGCAGTGCGTACACTACAAGGAAACACACACAACACACCTACAGGGACACACACACATGCACACACACAGCTCTCAGTACAACAGTAGCACTGTGTGTAGCACTGAGACAGTTGTCTTTGTTACAGTGATGGGTGCTACAACTACAGAGCATCCTATGAAGTCTCCTCTCGTTCCCTCGGCTACAACATACAGATAACGTTTAATTGGAAAAGAAGTGCACTCAAGTTTCTCTGCGTCTTTCATTGTCATATTAACTCTTTCTCGTTCCCTGTGTTCACTCTGACTTTCCAACTCCATCTCTCATTTTTATGTGCGACTGACCCTCCCTCTCTTCCTCTTTATCTGCAAACGTCTCGCTGTGTCACGCACACTTAAACAGAGGGCAGTGTAAGTCAGCCTACTGGGAGCTACAAGGAATGAAATGGGACTTAATGGAGGTGCTTCTTCTTTTTGATGTCTGATTTTGGGGATTGCAGGGTACAGTCTGGACGATGCTGCGCAGAAAGGTCTACCACGTTCAGGTTGGGAATAAAAATCAAGTAGATTCATTTGGAACATTTGACATTTACACTAAAGCTTTGAGATGATTCATGTAGGTTGAACCTGTGGGATTTAAAACTTGTTTTGAATGCTGACCAAAAAAAATCGATTGTGTTCATAAACTAAAAATCTGAACCAAATAACCTTTCATGTATTACTACAATTCAGGGCTTTGAGATTGAGTTAGTATCTGATTACAACTACTAAAGACTTTAGTTGATGACTCGCTCTCGTTTATGCCTCACTTTCAGCAACTGGTGAAAAAACTGAATTATGGTTTTTACTTTAGG